GGTAAGGGGCTGAACGCAGGTTCCGGTGGGTTGTTGTACGGCTTGTGACATCACAAAATGATGTAAGTATAAAACTTGTCGTTAACACACATTAAAAATACATTTACTTACAGTAAATATGCCCCTGGGTGCATTTTTTGGTCCTAGGACTGTTTTTTTAAGAAGTACATACCCAAAGTTGAGTAAAAAAAAACCTTTAAAAAGTGAATTTTGCATAATAGGTCCCCTTTAACATCCAGCAGACTTTCTGCTGAGTCGTGACAGTTTTTTGTCTCCTGTATTTTGGAATCCCCTCCGTGTTTACATCACCTGACTTTCTGATTGGCTACATGTCTCATTCACAGGCTGAGAGCTCAGGTGAACACCACACACACTGTGATATCGGGCCAACAAATCAAACATGTTGAATATCCCCGATTTGAGGTCGGAGCAGACCCGACGTCCTTCCGAGTTGACTAGATCACTCTTAACTCACCACCCACGGCAGGAATATCTGCTCAGATTATCTTTAGAGCCATCATGATAATCTGGACTTCCTTAAGATTGTCAGGAGCAAAAATCGGCCTGATTTTCTTGTAGTGTGACGTCGGCCTTAGCTGTGGTGGCCATTTTAATAGGGTAGACCTCATGTTAACCAGTTGTACATGTCATCTTAGTCCAGTAGTACAAAAACATGGTGATGTCTTGTATACAGATGTATTATTTTCAGCAGCGTTCACAGTGAATCACACAAATGTGATTTTTGCACAGTCTGCAGAGCTCACAGCTGGGAGGAGATGGATACAACCACAGGCTTTATAACTGTGCACATTTTACTGTCAAATGAAAAACATTTGGAGGTATAATGTGTAAATCCTCAGTCCTCCTGGAGCAGATGGCAGTTTGAAGGTTTAAACCTCTTGCCTGAAAATCTGAGTGATATTTTTTCTTCTGTCTCATTCATGAGCAGACATCTTGTGTGGACAGAGTTTCTCCACCGTCTGCTTCATCAAACTGGTTGTGGAGTTTCCTCCTCCTTCCTGGTCCATTTTACACATCCACATCGACTTTTATTTTCCACCACATCTCCTGCAGATCCTTAAAAATACTGCATGTTGCACAAATAATACTCCTGTTAGTGTGGATGTATTATTAAATCTAAGTATGAAGTGTTTACACAGAACAGTTAATCTGTCCTCTTAATCCTGGCTCTTTGTGGCTGATTTAATCAAGATGATAATGTTCAACAGCCAAAACCTTTTAGCCATTTAGGGCTTTTTTTTCCTGCAATGTTTCATTTGCACAAAGCTTGGGTAATGTTTGCTGAGAACATGTATTGTTTAAAATCTACCCATGTTTGTGGAGCTGACTGTCTTACATGAATTAATTAGTATGTAGGTCTGAAGAATTAAATTCTACACATGTGCTTGGTTTTATGTGATCTTCCTCTTTCTCTCCATTTGTCCCTCAGGACAAAACCTTTTCCTGGTACGTGCCGTCAGTGATGAGTGTTTCGTTGGGTGTGTGTACCACCGAGGCTTCGAAAAGGCAGCTGGTACACAGTTACCACAGTTTCATCCAGACTCTGCTGGAGAACCAGGACAGGAGCAATGAGAGCAGCAGCTGGGCAAAGGTAAACAAACTGCACCCAGGTGTCGACACTGGTTATGTTTTCATGCTCAGTATTCTTTGATGGGATTGAAATGTATTTGGATTAAATAATCAGAATGTATGGTTTGTTATGGGCTGCCGTTTGTAAAGTTACACAGTCTAAAATTACCACCAGTATTTTTGTTTTATTTAGACTTTTATAAGAAAAAAAGTCAGTTTTTCACCATACGATTCATACATTTATAAATGTCATAGTTTATAAACTAAATATTTAACTTACAAATTAAATATTTAGTTAACAAGCTAAATATTTAACTTGTGACTGAAATATTTAGTTTTGAGCTAACTTAAATATTTAGCTAGCAAA